GGCCAGTATGCCACGGGAAACCTGTTTTTCAAGCCGGACTCGGAGACCCTGAAGGAATCCCTCGCTACCTTTGACGAACTGGCTAGAGAGCTCGGCCTGCGCGTGCTGGGCTGGCGGGATGTCCCCCACGACTCCACCCTGCTGGGCCCCGCCGCCCTGTCCCGCGAGCCCGTCATCATGCAGCCCTTTGTTGTGCTTCGCTCGGCCTATGGCGATGGGCCCACCCCCCTGAAGACGACGGACCCGGACCAGGACCCGGCGCAGTTCGATGAGCTCACCTTCGAACGCCAGCTCTACTTCCTCCGAAAGCGCGCGACCCATGTCCTGGGCCTTGCGAACTGGTTCTACGTCTGCTCCCTCAGCAACCGCAACATCGTCTACAAGGGCCAGCTGGCCCCCGTCCAGGTTTACGAATACTACCACGACCTGGTCTCCGTTGACTACGAGGCCCATTTCGCCCTGGTCCACTCGAGATTCTCGACAAACACCTTCCCGTCCTGGGACCGTGCTCAACCGCTCCGCTGGGCGGCTCACAATGGAGAGATCAACACTCTGCGCGGCAACAAGAACTGGATGAGAGCCAGGGAAGGGGTCTTGCGATCCGAAATCTTCGGCGATGACCTGGACTACCTCTACCCGATCGTTGAGGACGGCGGTTCCGACTCCGCTGCCTTCGACAATGTGCTCGAGCTGCTCACCATGAACAGGGTTCTGTCCCTGCCGGAAGCGGTGATGCTGATGGTCCCGGAAGCGTGGCAGGATAATCCCGCCATGGACCCCGCAAAGGCTGCTTTCTACGAATGGGCCGCCTGCCAGATGGAGCCTTGGGATGGACCCGCGCTCTTCACCTTCTCCGACGGACGGTACTGTGGCGCGAACTTGGATCGCAATGGTCTTCGCCCCTGCCGATACTACATCACAGACGACGATCGCATCATCTGCGCGTCGGAGGTCGGCACGATTCCATTCGATCCAGAGCGCATCGTTGAGAAGGGCCGTCTGCAGCCCGGCAAGATGCTGCTTGATGACACGGTGGCTGGAAGGATCATCGACGACACCGAGTTGAAAACGACCGTTGCCAGCCGCCATGATTTTAGATCGTGGATTGAAAGAGAGCTGCTTCGCCTTCCAGAAATTCAAAAGGGCCTGCTCGAGAAAAACATTGACCTAACCTATACCCTGGACGATTCTACGGTTCAGGGCGATGTTAGACTCAAGGCATTTGGCTATTCCTACGAGCAAGTCAGTCTCATTCTGGGGCCGATGGCCGCCGATTCCAAGGAGGCGCTTGGATCCATGGGCAACGATGCGCCCCTTGCGTGTCTCGCTCAGCAGCCGCGGCTTCTGTATGAGTATTTCCGCCAGCTTTTCGCACAGGTCACCAACCCGCCCATCGATCCCATTCGGGAGGCCATCGTCATGTCCCTAGAATGCTACGTGGGTCCCCAGGGGAACCTCCTGGAGATGGATTCCTCGCAGTGCCATCGCCTCCTTCTCACTTCGCCCATTTTGTCACTGGACGAGTTCAGCACGATCAAAAATATGGCGGCGGTCCATGTCGACTGGTCCGTCAAAACTATCGATATCACTTTCGAGAAAGCGAAGGGGATTCAGGGCTACCTCGACGCTCTAGACGAGATCTGCAACGCGGCAACCGAGGGTGTCCAGAACGGCGATAAAGTCTTTATACTTTCCGACAGGGCCACCTCTGCCGATCGAGTCCCCGTCTCTTCCCTGCTTGCCACGGGCCTTGTCCACCACCATCTCGTTCGAAACAAGTGGAGGTCGCTGGTTGCTTTGATCGTCGAGACTGCTGAAGCGCGAGAGGTGCATCACATGTGCGTTCTTCTTGGGTATGGCGCCGATGGAATCTGCCCGTACCTGGCTCTGGAATGCATTCTGAAAATGAACCGTGAGAATCTGATCCGCAAGGCGCTCTCGGACGAGAAGATCATCGAAAACTACAAGTCGTCGGTGGACGGCGGCATCCTCAAAGTCATGAGCAAAATGGGCATCTCGACTCTTCAAAGCTACAAGGGCGCCCAGATCTTCGAAGCGCTAGGGATAGATGATAGCGTTATTGACCTGTGCTTCGCGGGCACTGCGAGTCGGATAAAAGGCATGACCTTCGAGCAGATCGCGCAGGATGCGTTTGCCTTCCACGAGAAGGGCTTCCCGTCGCGAATTATCAGCGAGATCCCTGGGCTGTCGGAATCAGGCGAATACCATTGGCGCGATGGCGGTGAACACCATATCAACGACCCCGTCAGCATCGCCAACATCCAGGATGCCGTGCGCACCAAGAATGACAGGTCGTATGAGGCATATGCGCGCTCCGAACATGAGCAGATCAGGAACTGCACCTTGCGCGGGTTGCTCGATTTTAATTTCGAACACCGCACTGCTGTGCCGATTGACCAAGTCGAGCCGTGGACTGAGATCGTCCGCCGCTTTGTCACTGGCGCAATGTCGTATGGATCCATTTCCATGGAGTCTCACTCCACTCTTGCCATCGCAATGAATAGACTCGGCGGCAAGTCCAATACGGGAGAAGGGGGTGAGAATGCGGAGCGCAGCAAGGTTCTGGAGAACGGCGACACCATGAGATCCGCCATCAAGCAGATTGCCTCTGGCCGATTCGGCGTTACGTCCCACTACCTTGCTGACGCCGATGAGCTCCAAATCAAAATGGCCCAGGGCGCCAAACCCGGCGAGGGCGGAGAGCTTCCTGGCCACAAAGTGTCCGCCGAGATCGGCAAGACCCGCCACTCAACCCCGGGCGTAGGCCTCATTTCACCCCCACCACACCACGACATCTACTCGATCGAAGATCTGAAACAGCTCATCTACGACCTGAAGTGCTCGAATCCCCGTTCGCGCGTCTCTGTCAAGCTTGTCTCTGAGGTTGGCGTCGGTATTGTTGCCTCGGGCGTTGCAAAGGCCAAGGCGGATCATATCTTGATCTCGGGCCATGACGGAGGCACCGGCGCGTCGCGGTGGACGGGAATTAAGTACGCTGGGCTTCCGTGGGAACTCGGCCTGGCAGAGACTCACCAGACGCTGGTCCTCAACGATCTTCGCGGCCGTGTCATCGTCCAGACTGATGGTCAGCTGCGGACGGGTCGGGATGTAGCGATGGCGTGTTTGCTGGGAGCAGAGGAATGGGGCTTTGCGACGACTCCTCTCATTGCCATGGGCTGTGTTATGATGCGCAAGTGCCACTTAAAGTAAGGTTTTCAATTTTTCTTCTATTTTTTATAGGATGGTTTAGCGGGATTGCTCCTCTGGGACACTTTTCGAAAAGATATCTTTTGAATAGATATACATACATTCATGACTAACTTTATGTTGTCTCCGCGTAGTACATGTCCGGTTGGCATTGCAACCCAGGACCCCTTGCTCCGACAAAAGTTCTCAGGGACCCCTGAACACGTTATCAATTTCTTCTACTACATCGCCAACGAACTACGAGCGATAATGGCCAAATTGGGTATCCGCACCATCAACGAGATGGTAGGTCGTGCCGACCTGCTGAAGATGCGGGATGACCTCCCTTCGTCCAAAATGGAAAATATCGATCTCTCTCTCATTCTCACACCGGCTCACTCCCTGCGCCCTGGCGTAGCGACGTACAATGTCCGTAAACAAGACCATCGCCTCCATGTACGTTTGGACAACAAGCTCATTGCCGAATCCGAACTGGCGCTGGAAAAGGGCCTGCCGTGCCGCATCGAGTGTGACGTTGTGAACACCGATCGCGCCTTGGGCGCTACGCTTTCATACCAGGTGAGTCGTCGCTACGGAGAGGCTGGTCTTCCTCAAGACACCATCCACGCAAATATCAAGGGATCCGCTGGTCAGTCCTTCGGCGCGTTCCTCGCGCCTGGCGTAACCCTCGAGCTTGAGGGTGATGCCAATGATTATGTCGGTAAAGGATTGTCCGGCGGTCGTTTGATCGTCTACCCTCCTCGCAGCGCCGTCTTTAAATCCGAGGAGAACATCCTCATAGGAAACGTCTGCCTGTACGGCGCCACACGAGGTCACTGTTACTTCCGGGGTGTAGCTGCTGAGCGATTTGCTGTGCGTAACTCGGGGGCTACGGCGGTCGTTGAAGGCGTCGGCGATCACGGTTGCGAGTACATGACGGGAGGCCGCGTTCTGATTCTCGGACCGACTGGCCGGAATTTCGCCGCTGGAATGTCTGGCGGCATCGCCTATGTCCTCGACGTGAATCAGGACTTCCACTCGAAAATTAACATGGAGATGGTTGAGGTTTCTGGAGTGGAAGACCCAGCGGAGATTGCCTTCTTGCGCGGGCTCATCGAAGACCACCACCACTATACCGGCTCCGAGCTTGCAGCCCGTATCCTTCTCGATTTTACTCGAGCGCTGGGCCATTTCGTCAAGGTCCTGCCGACGGATTACAAGAGGGTACTTGAGGAGGAGGCTAAGAAAGCTGCTGCTGCGAAACAGGCCAAATTCACTCTTCCGTACTTATCCAGAAATCCCTC